TGCGCCTCGAATTAGTCACCCAGACGCAGGGGAGGGCGAATAACGCCTCGAGTAGGACAGATGTGGTGGCCGGAGTCGAGTGAAATAGGTGAACGAGGGGTAGATCAGACGGATTTTACGGAGCAAGAGAGAGACTGGGATAAGACTAGGAAAGAGGACTGCATAATCATTAAACAGACTCTGATCCACATTCCCTGCACAAGGATGAATTGGCAGGGTGAGAACGACAGTTGGAGTGTGAAGGTGTCATGTCACTCAAATGAGAACACCACGCTATATCTAAATAGACACGGTTAAAAGTTGTAATAATGAAGGCATTATAGGATGCTACCAGAAACGCGAATAACCCAGGGCAGAAGGGAAGATACGATAATTGTTTAGCACACGTTTGGTCAAAGGATCGCCTTCACTTGTCTCTGACGAGTTGTAGTGTGTTGCTAAGACTGGCAAAACTTCCTACCAATATGACCAAGTTGCGAAAACAAGGTCAAACAACATATATACACCGAAAGGAGACTGCGACCACACAAAAGGCCACATCATCTTGTTCTTCGTAGCTTCGATTAACGTTTGCATGTTGCGTTGATTTACATTTCATTGCTATGAGAAAAATTTTCCCAAGCGAAACTACTTTTCTGAATGAAAAATTATTCTAAGTAACTTGAAAATTATGGGTGGATTTATACGTATGTTTATTGTGTATTCACGCCTCAGAATAGAGGATCACTTGTAAAAAAAAGTCTTATATTAAAAGTGATCATATTAATCTTGCGAGATATCCCTGGTTATAATAATGGCCATATTTCCTTATTTTTAGAACCACATTCTTCAGAATCTTCATTTGACCTACGTCGAGATCTTGCTAGTGATTTCCAGCCCGGATTTTCAGTTACCTCTTCGACGACCACCATCACCTCCTGTGGCGACCTGCTTGACTCAGGGTTGCATGACTCTGGCTGCCTCGGTAGCGAACTTCATCTCTTACTCGGTTCAGTGTGCCGTGATCATGCTGGCAGCTCTGATCAGCGCAGCAGTAGTCTGATCAGTGTTGGTAGCCGTGAAAGCTCGCTTACTATGGTTTCTTCTCCACCGACAACATTGGGTGGTGCCAGTTTCCTTAGCGGTGGCGGAGGGGGTAGTAGCAGTGGAGGCGGCAGCCAGACGGGCATGCAAGCCGTTCACCTGGGCCATCCAAGCTGCTTGAGTAGCGTAGCTTCTCTGACCGGTGGAAGTAGCTCTGGTGGTAGTGGTAGTCTTGCTCCGGGTGGCCAATTGATAGAGGATGGAGTAAGTGGTATTTTGGATACTACTAGCTTTCGTGGCCGAGGATCTAGTTTTTCGGATGCTGAGGCTGTGGCTGTGTTATCTGAGTCTGCTGGCTATTTTTCTGTGGAACATACATCTCCAGCTGACGTCTGTCAGCTGAACGGCACTGACTCAAGTCATGCCAACCACCTAAATGGCGGAACCAGAGGAATGCGGTCGTCAAAGACGAATAGGTCACGGCAGTTCATGTGTAATAGTGCCACAATATCCTCAGCACTTAGTCTGAGCTCCACAGCTTCTCTACCCGCCAGTTAGTTTTATTCATTGTCTTTTTGATATTCGATTTCTATAGACATTTAATTTCTTAATTTGCCCATTTTTATCACAATTCACTACTCATTCAGCAATTCATTTCTCTCAATAATCTAATTATATCCTATTACAGCAATCTCATTCTTCCATAATGTCAAATAATATATTATTTATCCAGGTTCTGTACCAGATCATCTCTTTTCCCCTATTTGCTCAAGCTCCTCTACGATTTGTGACCATTTACGTTTGCTATATTTTATTTTTTCTCCGATATTTCTTCACAAGTTGCCGAAATTTATTTTAATAGTTTATTTTTGAGTAAATAAATTGACAACCCTTAATTCCCTTAATTCATTCATATTTACACTCCTTATCTCGTTTGGAAAGGCGAGTGAGGCCAGTTTGCGAATATCTTCCACCTGTCTTTCCAAACGAACGGAAAGTTG